TATAAGTTTGTTATTATTCCGCTCATCCTTCATCTTTCCGTCTCGCACTACGCCAACCCATTTGGAACATAAATTGGTTTTCACATGTCGTCGGTTATTAGTGTAATGTTTTGTCCCACGTTGAACACCATCAAACTATATATAACTTATATACGTTGGTTTAATGGTGAGATTGGATCTTGTCATGGCTCTCGGAATTATGGGTCAGGCCCAAGAAAGTACTGTGCCAAATTCCGGATAGAGTCCAAAGAAAAGCAAAATATTATATATCGGAATAACCGGACGCTCAATACGGATTTAGAAGACGAACCGTGCCAATTATACTTCTTTAAATTTTAATTTGTAAATTTTGTTTTGTTTGTAGAAATTTTAGAAGACGAACCTTGCACGTCTTGATTTGTATACAAATTATAACAAAATCCAAAATGTCATTGTTGCTGATGTTTATATCCAAATTCTGTTTTATTTGTATGTTCTACTCTCTTAGATATAGGAAGTGGGGAAAATGGAATTTTCATGTTCAACAATAAAATGAACCTTGCATGTTCTACTCTCTTAAATTTTAATTTTTTTTATTTAGCAAAAAAAAAAGATAGAGGAAGTGGGGAAAATGGTTTTTTCGATACAGAAAGATGGAAACAAAACTTTCTTAACTATGTTAGAGTTTTTTTTGTATTCATTAATTAGCATTATTATTGCTAAAGTCTTTCTTCGTTTGACCACAAATATTTATGTATTGGTTTTGTTAATAACAATTTTTCATGTCCCAAAACATCCCAAGTTATAAGTATATATGCATGAAAAATATTCGTTTCTCAACACAACAACAAAATAAAGACGAGCACAAAATCATATTATATAGCCTTAAAAACTTGAAACGAAAATGTTGGTTTTCCTCCCAATGGAAAACCAATTTGAATTTAGTTTAAGAAGAACCAAACTTGGGTCTATTATGATTCATGAGATTATTATTGGATTAAGGGTTATAAAGGAGTATAAATATGACTCCAAACCTAATTTTAGTGTAAGGAGAAACTAATTGAAGAGAGACAATTTTCATAGGCTAAGAATGAAAAAAACAGTTTCGTCCGAGTTTGTTCAAGAGAACGTTTGGAGGCTTAAACATGCTCCGATTTGGCTGATATTTTTGAGTTAGTTTCGTGACTCAGTGATCTTGATATTCAACGGTGGAGATTGTATTTCAACGGTTCGTTCGTCGCAGATCTGGGTTTTAGCGAGGCTGTTCGCTACTGTTGCGAGTTCAGATTTCAAACTGTGTTGTTTTGAGTGTTTGGGAAATCCGACGGTGAATTCTTCTTGCATTGAGCTGAAATTTGGCAGAAATATTCCTGACTTGTTTATCTAGGATTTGTACGATGGAGATCTGATTTTAGTGACCGGAATCCTAGTGAATTTAGGGTCGTTTGAGACTACTTGTTTCTAGGCTCTTGTTTTGCTCTCTTGTGGTGTTTCTTGTGTTGGAGATTGCTCTTTGGAGCCTTAGTCTCTTGATCTGTTCTGTGGGAACAAGGAGGACGTGGTTGTAACTCAAATTTGATATAGTAGATTTTTGAGTGGACAACGGTCCCATGGTTTTTATTCCTCACATCGAGGAGGTTTTTCACGTAAAATAATTCGCTGTCTCATTTACTTTACTGCTTTGATTTGCTGCTGCCGTATTCTATATTTTTCTCACAGGTTCATATAAGCGTGGGAAAATTTATTCCGCTGCGCCATTGGTGCTTATTGTTTTTCTCCAACAGAGTGGTATCAGAGCTTTGTGGTTTGATAACTTTGGGTTATTAGTTGTTTGCTTTTGTGAGCGATGGAAAATATGGGCAGGATGATCAGCTTGGATGGTTCTAATTATCATATTTGAAAGGCAAGATGGAAGATCTCCTTTATGTGAAGGAGCTTCATGTTCCAGTCTTCGAGGAGAAGAAACCTCAGGATAAAACTGAAGATCAGTGGAAGTTGCTACATCGCCAAGTGTGTGGTTTGATAAGGCAATGGGTAGATGATAATGTGAGGAATCATATTGAAAATGAGACTGATGCTCGTTCTTTGTGGAAGAAGCTGGAGCTGTTGTTTGCTCGGAAGACTGAGAATAATAAGATGTACATGATCAAGAAATTGATTGAGCTGAGGTACCACGAGGGAACTCCGATGGCGGATCACTTGAATGCATTTCAGGGATTGCTCAATAAATTATCTGACATGGAAATTAAGTTTGAGGATGAGATTCACAGTTTGTGGCTTCTTGGTACATTACCAGATTCTTGGGAGGTGTTCACAATATCTCTTTGTAACTCCGCGTCGAATGGTGTGATTTTGATGGACTTAGTGAAGAACAGTGTCTTGAATGAGGAAGTAAGGAGGAAGTCTAGTCCTAGTTTCTCGCGTTAAGATGTAATGGTTTCTGAGTCAAGGGGGAGGAGTTCATATAGAGAGCTCAGGAATAACAAGAACATGAGCAGGAGCAAATCTAACAAATTTGCTAACTTGGAGTGCCATTATTGTCATAACAAAGATCACATGAAGAAGGATTGCTGGAAGTTGAAAAAGGACAGCAAACTTGGGAAAAAACAAGAAGATGGGGAAGATCGGGTGACTGTCACCGAGGATCAGTTTCTTATTATTCTTGAGAGTGATGCCATTAATATTGCATGCCATGACACCAGTTGGGTTGTTGATAGTGGAGCTACTACTCATGCTACATCACAGCGGGATTTTTTCACTACCTATACTCCAGGTAGTTATGGTTCTGTGAAGATGGGTAATGATGCAGTGGCCAAGGTTGCTGGCATTGGTGATATTTGCTTGGAGACTAGTGTTGGTACTAGAGTTTTGCTTAAGGGAGTTAAGCATGTCCCAGATATTCGGTTGAACTTGATCTCTACAGGGAAACTTGATGATGAGGGTTTCAATAGTCTATTTGGAGGAGGTAAATGGAAACTCACAAGGGGTTCCATGGTTATGGCTCGAGGTGATAAGCATTCGTCTTTCTATTGGATGCATGCGAAGGTCTCCAAAGATATTGTTAATGCTGTGGAGAATGATGATGCCATAGAGTTGTGGCATAAGAGACTATTATTGAGAAGGGATTGTCTGTGTTGTTAAAGAAGGAGGCTATTATAGGTATCTCCGGTTTACACTTGCAGAAATATGCGCATTGTTTTGCAGGAAAACAACACAGGGTCTCCTTCAAGTCTTCTGCTCCTTC